ACCCCCCCCCCCCTCGAACATTACGTCGATCTATAACTTTCATAAAAGAAAATTACATATGTAAGGTCATAAATAAGATGTACGTTAACTTGAACGAATAAATTCTGATGCGAGAATAAAAGCTTCGAGTTACTCACGCATGCTCATTGATTTGTAAGTCATCGATTAAATCTAATGAAGTTTCCGTAATATAATAACGGCTCTTCTATAATAATTTCCTTATTATTATTCTTAATGACTTCGCAAGCTGTAAAATCATAGCGATCCTCGATTCGCAAGAGGAGACGTAAATAAACCGTTACTATTCCGTCGACGTTTAAAAATCTCATATTTTTCATTGACAAGGCTACGTGCAGGAATAAAAATAGTTTTTGCAATTGTCGGATTGTCGGAAAGGGAGAGAAAGAGAGAGAGAGAGAGAGAGTGAGAGAGGGGGGGGAGAGAGAATGGCCATAAAATAAAATCGTCCGGACGATAATTCCATAAAAAGGTCGGTAACGGCTGGTTGGACGATGGCTCCGCACCCTTTTCAGCAGTTAAAAACTTCGATAAAATTAGGCTCCGAAGCCTTGCCTATAACGACGTGCAATGCAGTGCACAATTTGGCGCTACGTGCAATAAACAGATAGCACTTGGCTTTGTCCAATTTACACTTGTGTACTTGACGTCATCGCGGTCATGACTCGTTATTGCAAATGTGTAGTGTGCATTCGAAAAGCCAAGGCTCAGACGACGCTAAGTGAATTTGCATATTGGCGAATGTTAAGGTCATCGCACCCAACAGCGCCGGCATCTACATGATCTCGCCCCCCCCCTTCCCACCACCCACACCGGCTAGCCGCGTATCTGCCCGCTTCCCCCGTAGCTCAACCGACCGTTAGGCCTATAATTAACAATTGAAATAAGTTTCTTTCCATCCTTTTGTCTATTTATGCCGAGGCATCTCAGTGAACGCATAATTGCGGTCGCGCTTTGCCAAACTATTGAGCCGCCTGTCTTATTCTATCGCCACTTTTATATTTTCTTTAAATGGTATTTGAATGGTCGCGATATTCGAGAAATCCTCCTTTAATGCTGTGTACTTGCTGTCTGTAATCTGTCTATACCGAGATTTCAAGCTCGTTAATGCCGACAATTATATCTTTGCATTATTATGCGTTTTCACTCGGTACAGCTGAACATTCAACACTCCCAGAGTTCCAAAAATATTACTACTCTGATTTATCGAATATTCCAATTCAGGTGCTAAAAGCATGACGCGAAGTCTATGCTAATAACTAAATCAATGTACACGTTCGTGTTTATTAAGCACAAGAACCATTAATCAATTTTAAAGTGGAAAATACACATTCGCTCATTTTCGACGAGATAATCGGGTGACTTTTAAAAATTTACTTTATACCAAACGATATTCTGTCATTACAAACTACATTATATTAACAAACATTATCAGTTAAAATAACTTTACGAATTTGTAAAAAAGAAGAAAAAAAGAAGAAAAAAAGAAAAAAAGAAATAAATATACTATAAAACTAAAAATTCGTCCATTGTCATTCACATGTATAACCATACATTTCCTGAATATGTCACATAATTTTAGATTTATTACATTCAAATGACTAAAGATAATTATTTTGTTGTTTTATCGATATATTTATTAAGCAACGAATAATGGCCAATGAATGTAAATTACTATAATAGTACTGAAATAATAATGGCTAATAACAAAAATTCTCTTGTTACAATCGCATTCGATTTATAACGTATGACTTTAATTTGTTAAATGATCCTCGCACAACTTTAACCACTTTCTCGCTTGATTAAGTGCTTGTATTTTTCGAATAAAATATTCGTAAAACTTACTTCCAAGTAAAATTGCTTTAATGAATAAGAGGCGCTTTTTCTATCGTTGATTCTATATTTAAAAGAATAAAAAACTATTAAAAAAGATTCTGTTGTTGTTGTTGTTATTATTATTATTATTATTATTATTATTATTATTATTATTATTATTATTTATTTTATTATTATTGTTATTGTTATTATTATTACTATAACTACTACTACAGCCACTACTATTATTTTACTTTCCTTTATTAAGAAATTTAAATTAAAAATATTTTAATTAACAACTGCAGCAATTATGTCACTTCGTTCAAATACAAATCACGAAAATGGACCAAAAAATTGTTATTCATTCAAAATAAAATTTGTTATCAAGTTGAGAAAATTAATATGAAATATTTTTAAAGGTATTCATATATAAAAATCTAATTTCATACAAAATGTCTAATATTATAAAAAATATGTTTTATAAAATGTATAACTTATATAATCACCAGTTCAATGCGTATATAAAATAAAAATTCTTGTATTAAAATTATCTGTGCTACTACATAAAAATTATTATGATAGAATCAAAAGTCTTTTAACTTACATAGTTTTTTCATTTGATGAAATCTCGATTATTTGCTTTTAACAATATTGTTATGAGTTATTACAATATAAAATATTTAGCTGATATAACTTTATCCCTATCAAATAAATTAAGCTCAAAGAAAAGTTTTATAAAATATTGATCTCCACAACATAGTATTAAAGTATAAAAGCTCATTTTAGATTTTATAAAATATGATGTCCAATTCATAACTTAATTTCAACTAAATATTGTAGGTGAAATGTTACATATGTAGAATAGAATATTATAGTGACACTGAAAAATAGGAATAATACTCTATCGAAGACGAAAATTATAAATTACATTATCAAGAAGAATAGAAAATTCTAATTAATTCTATAAAAACAAAAACAAAAAAAATTAATTTAAAATATTTTGATAGATTTGTTATCATTAATGCGATAAAAATTATATGTATTTACGTGTGCGTATGTTTGTAATTTTAAGCGTTGAATTTCTGATTGCATTTCGAAATGCAATTATGAATAATTAAAATTTATAATATATATATATATATATATATATATTATTTGAGTAATTTTTAATTGCATTTTATGTAGAGAGGATAATTACATCGAGAGGATAAGAATTATTATAACGAAAATCTATTCAGAATAAATTGAAGATTTTCAGTTTAAACACTGACTTATCTCTCTAATGTATTAGAAAACCAGAACAGAAAAATATAAATGAATTACGATCACTTATTATATATAGAAATTCACTTTGTATCCTTGACCAAAGCGTTAAGTTACACTTGTTTTATTATTTGGCGCGTTTTCCACGTGAATGTGATGTTTCATAATACAAAGTCGAAAATGCCCTCGCACATGCATATATAAACATAAATAATTCTTTTCTCTCCTTTCAATTCATTATGTTACCAACAATACTTCTGCTATTCATAAATATATTCTAAACAATTATAGGACAAACGGTTCTTGAGAATTATAAAATTTAGCATAACTTAGAGTAATATATCGCGATAGATAATAAGTATGAATAAAAGCCAATTTATTGATATATTTAAAGTTGTTGAAACAAAGCTACTATACCAACTTTTCAAATTTGGACTCCAAAATGGTGTAGATGGTTTTTCTATCGATCGATCGTCTCCTCCTCCATGTCTCCCCATGCTCGTCTCGACTAATAGCATTAGGTAACTCATAATTAGCCTCAAAGAAGAACGCGACGGAAATCGATTTTGTGGACATGGGGTCGTCGAGTGGTATCGCCAATGCAAAGAACAACTGTAATGAGAAAAAATAGATGAGATTATAAAGGATTTAATTGATGCGAATGATCGAGGCTTGCCGCAATGCGGCCTACGTATTCTAAGATGTGTTCGACTGTGTGATGTGATCACCGTTGGAGCAGCGATTCACATCGGATTAGCTTGCCCACAAAAGTCCAAAAATCTAGAAGTTTCATTGCGGCTGGATTACGTGCGCATCCTTTTCCATTATATCACTGTGCAAATTATTCGCTCATTTCATTCGAACTATTGTTCGACCATGGCCAATCAATTCGGAACAAAGATTTCCATGCTAATTGTAGATTCGCTACATCCATTCAATTAAGTTCAGGAATACCCTATACCAATTTACCAATTCCATTCAACGATACCCTCTGTGTCTCTCTTACTTTCCCCTCATTTACCTCTCGTCAATTCCATCATTGAGATTATATCAACGTTTCGTCTGCTATTTCGATCACAAGGCTACGAAAAAAAACCCTTACACGGCTGGTTAATGAACGAGACTATGGGAAATCTGAATAAAGCTTCGGCCGGAGTTTTTATTATGGAAATAATTGTCGATGAGACAGGAGGCACGTAAGTATCGTCGAAATAAATTCGTCGTGAGAGAGGGCAGAGGCAGAAGGCGAGAAGCTCACTTTACCAACGCCGTACTTTTCCACGGCTCCTAATACATTTGAGTATTAGGAGAGTCGCGAGACCGCGGCAATGAGTTACAGCTAAGCCAGGAGTCTTAATGGCGTCGAGCCGTAGACCAAATCCAAGCCAATCTTCATTACCATAGTTGCATCAGCTTCATGAATAGACGTGCAGTCAATGGAATGCAATGCACTGGCCACACACGTCTTTGCACTTTGCATGAATAAAGTCTTAATTTCGATTTGCAATGTCAAGTGGCTATTAAAACGCTGAGGTCGAATTACGCAATGAATGATCCGGCAAGCCGCGGTGTCTACGCAATCCTATCTCGCTTACTCCTCGCTCCTTTTACATCGCATTCACGCAAATATAAGGACACCAAACGACCAAGCATTAACATTCAGTTATTCGATATAAAATTTTTACGACAATATAAGCACGCGGATATTCCTTTACATTGCCGGAAGAACAATGTGTACGAGAGTATGAGGAAGGAAGGGAAAGCAAAGAATCAAATAGATAGGAACGATTCCCATTCGCCTCGGTAAAACTTATACATCGATATATCCTTTACATTTTAACGACTTATAAAAGACGAATACGTGAATTGTGAATGCAACGTGTGGTAATGTTAAATCACAAAGAATACGCGCACGCATATTTATAATTTGACTCGTTTTATAGCGTCAAGACAGGACTGGATATTTATTAACATCGACACATAATATTCCTAATATTATTTTACTATTAAAAAAAAAAAAAAAAAAATGCATCATATATACAATTTTTATTTTATTAATTGTAATAATTAGATTAATATTATTATACCTGCAATAATATGATTTTCAACTGACATCTACGTGACATTATATTAAAATAGCATAGTAAATCATTTTATTTAAATAAACTTTTAATTTCATATTTTTACATAAAATAAAAACAAGCAATATTTTTAACGCTCGCTTTATAATGGATATAATAGGATAAGCCAACAAAAACAAAAAAGAAGAAAAAGAAAGAAAGGGAAATTTGTATTATGAAATGTCATTTAAGAATTACCTTAGACATTAAATGTTTGGATCTCGTGTTACGAAACTTATCATTTAAACTTCAAAAGTTTCACGGTATTCAGTATTTCAATTGACTAGGCTAAAATTACTTATATACATATTCAGACAAGATACTTTTTTTTCATTTTGTTCTTTTTTTTTTTTTTTTTTTGATTGTAATATTATAAATGAAAGAAATGACAGTTTAACGGTATTGTTATTTTTATATGAAAAATATGTATTAATAAGCTTATGCAGTTTATAATTGTATAAAACATAATTGTATGAAATATCGTCTGAATAATATCGTTATGTTGGTCTTAATTTAAGTAAAAACATTAATACGTTCTATTCTTACGTAATATTCTTAATAATTATTATACTGTAAAATAGGGTATGATAAAATTGCAGATTGTTTATAATAAATTTTCGAACGGTCGCACATAAGAAATTATAGAAAGTCAAATTATATGTAATTAAAAGTAATTGTGTGTGATTAATTACAATCACATGTAATCGAACTCTACTACGGACTAATTGGCTATAATCCACTGATACGAGATACATTTGGATCGAAAATTTTGACAAGCGTAATCGCTCATATTATGTTCTAAGCAGCTCTTATCTTAGATGATAAAAAAAAAAATTTTTTGTTTGATTATAATTAAATATTGTGTTTCATTCGAGTAGCATCGATAATAATAACATACAATTTTTAATAAAAGCAAATATTTAATAAGCACTCTTGCGTAAGCATATTTTACCCGTAATTTCATAATTGTTTACAATCTAAATATTTCAATTTCATGTAATGTATAAATATATAAAGAGTACTTTAAGAAAAGAAAAAAAAAATTTTTAATTATTAGTTTCACGCAAAAAATCCTTGTAAAGTTCGATGCAAATATAGGAAAGTAGTAGAAATTTTATGATATAAAAGCTGTGATTGTTTATATAAATGCCAAGCTAATTTGTTTAATAGTAAATTTCATTAAAAAAAATAGAATATGCAAAATTTATTAATTAATAGCAAGGCGAGCTCTTAATATGTAAATCTCTATTATAAATATTATAATTTTAAATAATATTAACTAATACAAGGTCTTTTGAAATTATTTCCAATACTACAACTTTAATGTCTTGAATCTCGTATCAAAGTTTAATTACTTAGTTTGTGTATTTCTTCAAAATTAATTAAAATATACACAGAATTTCATCAATTTATATGTACTTTTCAAGTGATTTAAATTATGCTTTATAAATTTCCATTACAATATTATTTTTCAACAGTATTAATTGAATAATTATACAAAGTAGTTAATATGAAAAAATATATTTAACTTAATCATTTGATAGTTGATTTAAAATATTGTTGTTATTATCGATAATAAATGTCCATATAGAATGTAAAAGTACCATATTGTGCTACACCAAGATATGCATAATTTTAATATTGAAAATAAATTTTTTTGTATTCGTCATGGAAATAACACGCAATTAGTTGAAAGATTTTAAGAAATTAAGAAAAAAACAAAAAAAAAAAAAAATAAATTACTATGCATAGTCTTAAATATACGGTAACTTGTACATATCAATGACGAATCAAATCGATAACGTGAATAAATTTTTTTTTCTTCTAAATCTTGATATACGTATAGGTAATGAATAAATATACAAACCCCCATTTCACTCTCCTTAGGATAGGATAAAGCACGAAGTTGACGATGAACTGCGTCGGACATTTTATTCCCATCGACTAATACAATAATACCGCCGAGAATAATTAGCACTGAGACGGCCACTTCCGGCGATCGAAACAGTCGGGTATTAAAACTGTAATAAGAAAGAACAACATAAAATCGATGAGCGCGAGTGCATATGTGCACGCGTGTGCCTTTGTGTGAGTGTGCGCGTGAGTGTGCGCGTTTGTTTGGGTGTTTGTGTGCGTCTTTGTGTGCGTGCGTGCGTGCGCGGGCGTATCGTCTGCCAGGTTGTTCCGGATAAATATTGAAACTGCTCGAGAAATTCGAAATCCTTTATCTCGAGCAAAGAACACAGCGCTAGAAAAAATAATATACAAGTATATCCCCTTACAGGCGCGCGTGACTGTACACGAAGGGTGAAATATCGATGTCAATAAGTATCGTATAGCCAAAGCTAATAAAGCGAGAAGGAGAGACACGTCAGAGAAATTGGATGCAAACTGTGCACTGAAGAGAAAGAATGGAAAGTATAGACAGCTGATTCGAGAGGTAATCAAGTTGATGGGCATGGACAGAGAAAAGGGAGGGATGGAGAATGAATGCTCGTACGCCGTGGCACAAGGGCTAGGATGAAAGTGTATTCCTATTTTCATTCTGGCCGAGCTTTTCCCTAAACGACGACCGATTCGCGAGCAACGACGGATGGGATACGACTTGATTGTGACCGAGAAGCAATGGCATTTGTAGGTGGCGCGGACGTGACCTAGACAAATACATAAAACACTCGCCGAGAGCAGAAGCAACGGCGAAATCCGGGAAGTCGTCTCGCGCACAAACGTCAAAAAGCGCGACACGCGATTATCCTTTATCTTTTTCTTCTTTTTCTTCTTTTTCTTCTTTATCTTCTTCTTCTTCTTCTTTATCTTCTTCTTCTTCTTTATCTTCTTCTTCTTCTTCTTCTTCTTCTTCTTCTTCTTCTGATCTCACTCGTCACCATTATCCGCATTATAAGCAATTCATTGCATTACGTTAATGGTATTGGAAATATATAGAGGCGAAATCTATCGGGAATGAGAAAGAAATGGCTCGAGGAGCTTGCGTTACTTACGTCGCGCTGCGGTTATTCATTTCGGGAATGCGTCCTGACTACCATCGAGGAGAGATATTAGCGACCGTCGCCCGCTTGTCGCTCTAATCGGCAAAACCAAGTTAAACGGCATCAGCGGCCTAACGGTAAACCCGGACCTATGAAAAATAATCCTCGGTGGGAGATTGGATGGAGGG